AATAATACATCACAATATATTAAAAAAAAAATATTTATCTCAATATACACATTTTTATGGAGACTGAAAAATACATTTTATAAAATACAAAAAAAAGTATGTTCTTTGTGAGAATTTCCAAAGTAATGCTAGAATTTTTATATATTTTTTTTAAATATATATTTACATTTATAAATAAGTAATTATTTAAAAAAGTATGTTCTTTGCGAGAATTTCCAAAGTAATACTAGAATTTTTATATATATTTATTAAAATATATATTTACATTTATAAATAAGTAATTATTTTAAAAAAGTATGTTCTTTGCGAGAATTTCCAAAGTAATACTAGAATTTTTTATATATTTTTTTAAATATATATTTACATTTCTAAATAAGTAATTATTTAAAAAAAAGTATGTTCTTTGTGAGAATTTCCAAAGTAATACTAGAATTTTTTATATATTTTTTTAAATATATATTTACATTTCTAAATAAGTAATTATTTAAAAAAAGTATGTTCTTTGTGAGAATTTCCAAAGTAATACTAGAATTTGTAATATATTTTTTTAAATATATATTTACATTTATAAATAAGTAATTATTTAAAAAAGTATGTTCTTTGCGAGAATTTCCAAAGTAATACTAGAATTTTTATATATATTTATTAAAATATATATTTACATTTATAAATAAGTAATTATTTTAAAAAAGTATGTTCTTTGCGAGAATTTCCAAAGTAATACTAGAATTTTTTATATATTTTTTTAAATATATATTTACATTTCTAAATAAGTAATTATTTAAAAAAAGTATGTTCTTTGTGAGAATTTCCAAAGTAATACTAGAATTTTTATATATTTTTTTAAATATATATTTACATTTATAAATAAGTAATTATTTAAAAATAACGATGGCTTAAAATCTGATCAGCATTGCTTTTTCTTTGTCTTTCTCGCAGGCTCTCCTCAAGATAAGAGGCCAGTTCTGGCTGTTGTTCCCAGTCCTGCAACTCCATCATATCCAGCAGAGAGGGAGGGGCTAAACGCATGTACGCTCCTATCATATCATATATCATATCATACGTATGACAGTACAGTGTGCAAAAAGTCTTATATTATTCTCAGTCTCATATTGCAATTCTTTTCTTCACTCAGACCGCTGCAACCTGACCTTTGACCCTCGCACCGCCAACGCTCACTTACGCCTTTCCCAGAGCAACAGGAGGGCGGAGCATCTGACCTCTGGGCCCCGCCCCGTCCCGGCCGACGAGTCCCGCTTCGACCACACCTGGCAGGTGTTGTGTTTCCAGAGCTTCACTCGCGGACAGCATTACTGGGAGCTGGAGGTGTCCAAACCGTGGGCTTACGTGGGCGTGACGTACACGAACATACCGCGCAAAGAGAAGGGCAAGCGCTGCATGGTGGGGATGAACGAGCTGTCGTGGAGCCTCCAGCTGGACGAGCGGCAGCTGAGCGCGTGGCACGCCGGCTGCAAGGAGTCCGTCGCGGGACAGCTGCCGCTAAACGCTCAGCCGCTGCGCATCGGCATGCTTCTGGACTACGAGGCCGGTACGCTGACCTACTACGGCGAGGGACAGGTCCGGCTGCACGCCTTCCACTGCGCGTTTACACAAGCCCTGCTCCCCGCCTGCTGGATCGGGGAGGGCGTCACCGTTACGCTCTGTGAACCGAGAGCCTGAATGTTTGTCCCCGACAGGATTGGTCCCGAGGAAATACATGCATCCCTACTGTAGCCGGACCCGAGACGCGTGGCCTTCCTTCACCATCATTTACTCCTCGTGTTTTTGAGCTGTGATGAGATTTGATGAGCTCAGGATTTACTCTGGGATGGTGATCTGTGGAGAGTTATGCTTCACACAAGGACGTGAACACAGATGCTTTTAGCTGCACTGGCTTGATGTGTTAGTCATAAGTTAAGATGTTTCCTAAAGAATAGTCAATGACAGTTGTGTAATATATAAATATATATATATATATATATATATATATATATATATATATAATGTCAAATTGATTTATTGCGAATAATTGTATTTAACATAAAAGTTTGTGTTTACATAATATGTGTGTGTATAATATATATTGTTAAATTTATATATACCATATATGTGTGTGTGTGTGCTTGTCTGTGTATATGTACGCACACACACACAGGCATATTATGTAAACAAACTTTTATGTTAGATTTGACAGCACTTGTATATTTAAATTTGATTGACTAAATTTGATATATATATACACTATATGAAAATATTTCTTAAATATATACAAGCATGTGTGTGTATTTATATATATATATATATATATATATATATATATATATATAATAATTATACACAGTGCACTCACATATATTATGTAAACACAAACTTTTATTTTGGATGCGATTAGTCGCAATTAATCGTTTGACAGCCCTAATATATATATATATATATATATATATTATATTCCTATATAATATATATATATATATATATATATATATATATATATATATATATTATATTATATTCCTCTTAGTCATATATACATCATGTATATACATATATATTATAACAATATATACATATGCATACTGCACCGGTCAGAGGTTTGGAATAATCATGTTTGTGTTTTAAAACTGCATTTATTTAATCAAAAATACCAAACAGTATTATTGTGAAATATTACAATTTAAAATAACTGTTTTCTATTTGCATATATTTCATACTCTAGAGTGATTTCTGAAGGATCATGTGACACTGAAGACTGGAGTAATGATGGTGAAAATTCAGCTTTGATCACTGGAATAAATGACATTTTAAAAGATATTACACTAGATTATAGTTCTTTTAAATTGTAATAATATTTCACAGTGTTACTGTAAATCTGCTGGCATCTGTGTTCACGTACTTCGTGAGGTGTGTTTCAGGCATATTCTTACTTGTGGCCAAATTATGGATCTTTTAAGAAGTAGAAGTTGAGTTTGCATTTAAGGGCCAGATGTGCACTTTGTGTTCAAGAGATATCACAATTATTGTCTGCTGTATCCGCTCTAGTATAGGATTCAAATTTTTAGAGAGTCAGATCTGTTCGCCTGCAAACATCTATGTTGTGTTCATTTCCATGTTGGATAGGATTCTTGTAGTAGTTATTTTGTATTTGTATGTATTTCTACTGTATCAGTTTTTTATTTATCTTTCGGTCATTATCGCTTAACATTTCAGATGCCGACATCTTAAATTATGAAACTCTAATTTCATCGTCATTGGCTGTGTTCAGAATATAGTACTTGCATACTACACACTATGTGCCATATACTAAAAATAATTATTTGTTTCTTTGCTTAGTTATCTCACACATAAATGAAATGAGGTTTAATTTGTTTTTATTAAAAACACGGTTGATTGCAGTTCATTTATCACTTTTTAATTGAAAGTATGGTTTTTTTTCAGTTTACTCTGTTGTATACAATATTTTTTTTTTGGCAAACTTATGTGTGCACAGTATATATAATGCATAATGCTATTCTGAACACAGCCAATCTATAAGGAAGCACTGTGTGCGTTATGGGATCATAATTAAGTGAACTCCTTCCTGTTATAGCGTACTTGACGTCTGACTTTATGCACTTATAACTACTAGTATAAGGTAGAATTATGCTTAATACTGGGAGATTGTTTGAATATGAGAAAAATGATTTACTTGCTTGAACAAGCCATTTTGGCTACATGAGTGAATGGAAAACTGGAAAAGCACATCCATCCTTTGGGAATAATGAGGTCATTCTGTATCGTCTGGTCCCGCTGAGACTTTATCGATTAACGTGACCGCCTTTGCCTGCTTTTGAAACCCTGGACATTAGGTACATAAATGATGAACACAAGACATTCATAAAGATTCTCAAATGAAATGCATCGTTCCACTTGTGTACATGTTTACTTTAATAAAATACACTTCAAATAACAATACAGTCAAGACCATGCGTAACTGATTCATTGGATAATTAAATAAATCATGGAAAAGATTATTCGATAAACAAGACCGAAGGGTTAAAGTGCATCTTTAGTCTAACTGCTGCATGCTACAGACACGCCAAGACAAGAACACACACAGCTTCATCAGGATACACTTAGTTAGCAGTGAACATGTAGGTGGTTTTTAGACACAGTATGCTCAGTTGTTTTGATTACATTTCTGAAAATTATTCCAAAGTGTACGGAGGCGTATTGCATTCACTTGAAGAAAAAAATCTACTCTGTTTTTCTGAATTAACGAGTTAATTTTTCATGAGAAAAAAAAATTCTCTGTTTTTCTGAATTAATGAGTTAATTTTTCATGAGAATTTTTTTTTTGCTCAGTTTTTCTGAATTAACAAGTTAATTTTTCATGAGAAAAAAAATTTTTGTTCTGTTTTTCTGAATTAATGAGTTAATTTTTCATGAGAAAAAAAAAGTTTTTGCTCTGTTTTTCTGAATTAATGAGTTAATTTTTCATGAGAATTTTTTTTTGCTGTTTTTCTGAATTAATGAGTTAATTTTTCATGAGAAAAAAAATTCTGTTTTTCTGAATTAATGAGTTAATTTTTCATGAGAAATTTTTTTTGCTCAGTTTTTCTGAATTAACAAGTTAATTTTTCATGAGAAAAAAAATTTTTGTTCTGTTTTTCTGAATTAATGAGTTAATTTTTCATGAGAAAAAAAAGTTTTTGCTCTGTTTTTCTGAATTAATGAGTTAATTTTTCATGAGAATTTTTTTTTGCTGTTTTTCTGAATTAATGAGTTAATTTTTCGTGAGAAAAAAAGTTTTTGCTCTGTTTTTCTGAATTAACTCGTTAAATCAGAAAAACAGAGCAAACAAAATTCCATTAAAAATTAACTCATTAATTCAGGAAAAACAGAGCAAAAAAAATTCCATGAAAAATTAACTCATTAATTCAGAAAAACAGAGCAAAAAAAATTTTCTCATGAAAAATTAACTCGTTAATTCAGAAAAACACTTGACTTTTTTTCTTCAAGTGAATGCAATACGCCTCCGTAAAAGTGAAACTCGCTGCACAATAAAAGTTTTAGCTAAGCGATGCATTTGACGGATTACGCGTTCACATTGATTAGCAGCGAATATGTATCCGGAAGTGTTTGGTTTTTAAAGGCGTTTGAGACGACTGAGTGTTTAACAAGTGAGCAGCAACAGCCAGTGAAGCTCATGTGATCCTGCATCTAATATTAGTCGGGTTAATGAGAACATCCACGTTTTTGGGCCTTGTCCGTAACTCTTGTGCAACTAGCAAAATACTTCTCAATCTATACAAAATCAGGTCATAAATAAATTTAGAAAAGCTCAATCATTTACTGTCGGATTGTAGGTCCCTTTCATTCACGAGCTATGAATTCATTAGTTGTTTTATTGGCGTGTCTCTCTCGTCCCTCTACACAGGCCAGGTCATGTTAATGCCCCCTACTGGAGCCCCAGTCGCCGCGAGTCTGGTCAAGTGTGGCGGGAGACGGTGAGAGGATGAAATGAAGAATACGGAGAGAGGAGAGGATGTGCGCTCGCTCGCTGCAGACGCGTCTACTGGTTCTTCTTGTCATCCGGTGGGGAGTAGGGTGGGGGTTTGTCCTTCGGGAAAAAACAAAACAGTATCCCCACATTATAACCCAAGTTAATATTTTCTTTGCTTTGATGCAGCTCTAGACTCTGGACTTGAGTAACAGGTATAACGCATATGGACGTTGACAAGTTTAACTTGGGTACATATGAACTTGGTTAACAGGTGGGACCTGGTTATATATGAACGGTTAACAGATTTAATCTAGTTATATATGGAGTTTAACACATTAACTTGGTTATATATGAACTTTATTATAAATGAAGTTGGTTGGTCTTGGTTATGAGCGGTTAACAGATTTAACCTAGTTATATATGGAGTTTAAAACATTTAACTTGGTTACTATAAATTTTATTATATATGAACTTGGTTGGACTTGGTTATGAGCGGTTAACAGATTTAACCTAGTTATATATGGAGTTTAACACATTTAACTTGGTTATATATGAACTTTATTATAAATGAAGTTGGTTTGACTTGGTTATGAGCGGTTAACAGATTTAATCTAGTTATATATGGAGTTTAAAACATTTAACTTGGTTACTATAAATTTTATTATATATGAACTTGGTTGGACTTGGTTATGAGCGGTTAACAGATTTAACCTAGTTATATATGGAGTTTAACACATTAACTTGGTTATATATGAACTTTATTATAAATGAAGTTGGTTGGTCTTGGTTATGAGCGGTTAACAGATTTAACCTAGTTATATATGGAGTTTAAAACATTTAACTTGGTTACTATAAATTTTATTATATATGAACTTGGTTGGACTTGGTTATGAGCGGTTAACAGATTTAACCTAGTTATATATGGAGTTTAATACATTTAACTTGGTTATATATGAACTTTATTATAAATGAAGTTGGTTGGTCTTGGTTATGAGCGGTTAACAGATTTAATCTAGTTATATATGGAGTTTAACACATTTAACTTGGTTACTATAAATTTTATTATATATGAACTTGGTTGGACTTGGTTATGAGCGGTTAACAGATTTAACCTAGTTATATATGGAGTTTAAAACATTTAACTTGGTTATATATGAACTTTATTATACATGAACTTGGTTGGACTTGGTTATGAGCGGTTAACAGATTTAACCTAGTTATATATGGAGTTTAAAACATTTAACTTGGTTATATATGAACTTTATTATAAATGAAGTTGGTTTGACTTGGTTATGAGCGGTTAACAGATTTAACCTAGTTATATATGGAGTTTAATACATTTAACTTGGTTATATATGAACTTTATTATAAATGAAGTTGGTTTGACTTGGTTATGAGCGGTTAACAGATTTAACCTAGTTATATATGGAGTTTAACACATTTAACTTGGTTACTATGAACTTTATTATATATGAACTTGGTTGGACTTGGTTATGAGCGGTTAACAGATTTAACCTAGTTATATATGGAGTTTAACACATTTAACTTGGTTATATATGAACTTTATTATATATGAACTTGGTTGGACTTGGTTATGAGCGGTTAACAGATTTAACCTAGTTATATATGGAGTTTAATACATTTAACTTGGTTATATATGAACTTTATTATAAATGAAGTTGGTTTGACTTGGTTATGAGCGGTTAACAGATTTAACCTAGTTATATATGGAGTTTAATACATTTAACTTGGTTATATATGAACTTTATTATAAATGAAGTTGGTTTGACTTGGTTATGAGCGGTTAACAGATTTAACCTAGTTATATATGGAGTTTAACACATTTAACTTGGTTACTATGAACTTTATTATATATGAACTTGGTTGGACTTGGTTATGAGCGGTTAACAGATTTAACCTAGTTATATATGGAGTTTAACACATTTAACTTGGTTATATATGAACTTTATTATAAATGAAGTTGGTTTGACTTGGTTATGAGCGGTTAACAGATTTAACCTAGTTATATATGGAGTTTAACACATTTAACTTGGTTACTATAAATTTTATTATATATGAACTTGGTTGGACTTGGTTATGAGCGGTTAACAGATTTAACCTAGTTATATATGGAGTTTAATACATTTAACTTGGTTATATATGAACTTTATTATAAATGAAGTTGGTTGGTCTTGGTTATGAGCGGTTAACAGATTTAATCTAGTTATATATGGAGTTTAACACATTTAACTTGGTTACTATAAATTTTATTATATATGAACTTGGTTGGACTTGGTTATGAGCGGTTAACAGATTTAACCTAGTTATATATGGAGTTTAAAACATTTAACTTGGTTATATATGAACTTTATTATACATGAACTTGGTTGGACTTGGTTATGAGCGGTTAACAGATTTAACCTAGTTATATATGGAGTTTAAAACATTTAACTTGGTTATATATGAACTTTATTATAAATGAAGTTGGTTTGACTTGGTTATGAGCGGTTAACAGATTTAACCTAGTTATATATGGAGTTTAATACATTTAACTTGGTTATATATGAACTTTATTATAAATGAAGTTGGTTTGACTTGGTTATGAGCGGTTAACAGATTTAACCTAGTTATATATGGAGTTTAACACATTTAACTTGGTTACTATGAACTTTATTATATATGAACTTGGTTGGACTTGGTTATGAGCGGTTAACAGATTTAACCTAGTTATATATGGAGTTTAACACATTTAACTTGGTTATATATGAACTTTATTATAAATGAAGCTGGTTGGACTTGGTTATATGTGGACTTTGTTTACAGGATAGACTTAGTAAACTGGTCGAACCTAGTTATATATGGGCATATGAACTTGATTAACAGGTTGGACCTGGTTATACATGACTTAACAGGATAGGTTTGGTTAACAGATACCTAGTTATATACAAACTTTAAAACATTTAACTTGGTGCATATGAACTTAACTAACAGGTTAATAAAAGGTTGGACCTGGCTATAGTATATATGGATTGCTAAAATCCCCCAGTGATGAAAATCAAGCTTTTAATGTTGTTTATGTGTCTATGTTTAATGTGCTTTAAGATAAACCATGTGTGAATTCATAAGTGGACAGCATTGCTGAGTATTTTCTGCTTAAAACTGCAGTGAACCAAAGACAGTCTCAAAAGCACGCTTTGAAATCGCTGGTGTTTCTGACGTCACAAACCACCTTGTAACCAATCAGATCAACGTGTGATCGTCAACCAGTGGATCTCTGAGCTGAGTGAGTGGAGGCGGGGCTCATTTACATATTCATTGAACCGCGTATACTAAATGAGGCAAGGGTGTCGAGTTACATTCAAGCTATGTTATGGCATGAAGGAAAAAACTTTACAATATTTTGTTCTAAGATGAGTTTTAATGGATAAAATGATAGACTATAGGGGGACTTAGACTCGGTAAACTGGTTGGACCTAGTTATATATGAACTTTGACACCTTTAACTTGGTTATATGAACTTAAAAAGCATGGTTAACAGGTTGGTGAACTCACCTCCGGCAGGTAGACCCGCATCGGAGCATAAGTAGTTGCAGAGGAACTCGCTGCAGCTTCAGCTGCTTTTGCCTCCGCTAGAACAATAATTACAAACATTAATTAACAAGAAACAGTAAAATAGTAGTGAAATCTTAAAGGGGGACTTGGCAACTCTAGTCATTTCTTCGCTGATTTTTACTTTTGTTGTCGCATGTTTTCTCACCAGCGCCCCCTACAGTTGTGCGGCGTATATTTTCATAAAAAACTCACTTGCGGCTCCTTCCTCGCGCTTTCTACCGCTGCTCATGTGCTTCTGTTATTATTGGAGCCGGCCAACTTTAGCGTGTGGAGCTATGTCTACTGAGAGGGTTAGAGCCCGACCGATAAAGGATTTTGAAGGCCGATACCGAATTACCAATACAAATTTTTGTTGGATTTAAAATCCGATATTCCGATATATCGGCCGATATTATTATTATTTTTCAGAAACGCGCAACAAAACATCAATAGATTTCCCTGACATTAGTTATTTGTAGTTATTTATGAGTTTTAACTAAAATAATATGATAATGCATTTTAAAAAGAAACTTGTATCTTTTATTGTCTCAACAGAACACACTGATGATAATGGCATTAGCTAGCTTTGTGGTTAGCTAGTCTATGATGAGCCATAATTTAGCAATGGATAACGTCATACTGCAAATTGTAAAACATACATTTTCAATATATCAGGCCGAGGAGAGATGATACGACTCATTGCTATAACTGTCACGCGCTATTAAAGAAATACTTCAGTCGAAAGGTTAAAAGGACAGTCAGTCAACTACACTGTAACAACGTAACGTAACTATTACTAGCTAATTCTGCTTCACTCTCGGCTTATTTAACAGCAGCACATGATAGTCACAAATTTTGTCATGCTTATTTGAGTTAAGAGAACTGATGGGGACGTTCTTTTAATTGTTATTCAAGAAACGTATGTCTCGTGACCAACTCAGGAACGGTGTAGAGCGCCCTCTGGTGGACAAACTATACAACTCCAACACTCATGACATGGTTCAAGCGTGTTTCGTCCATTTTTATTTTATTTTGGAAATATTAATTTATCAGCCATTATAACTGCCGATACCGATAGTTTGGAAAATACCTAATATCGGCCGATAATATCAGTCTGGCTCTAGAGAGGGTAATACATCATACACAGTATCATAGAATTATGTTGAATAGCCATGAAGCAGTTTGTGATTCTCACTCGTTCTCGCTCATTCTCGGTTCTCACGAGACTTCTTACCGGGACGTTAGTCCTCATGTTGCAAGGTTGGTTTCCCGCCTGGGAACACTGGGGGGAAAGTCACCATTCTCTCCAGATCTATTCAAATGATTTCTAAAGGGTTTTATTAAGTTGAAATAGTTGCCAAGTGCCCCTTTAAACGGCTCGTCGGAGTTTTAGCTAATGCAAAAGCTAGTTTTAGCTCATACCTGCAGGGGTCCTGGGCAGGTCTGGGTCGAGAGGAGCTTGGTCCGCTGGAGCTGTATATGGGGGAGGAGGCATGTAGGCTGCGGGTCCATCAAACCAGGCGCCACCTACAGGACCCAAGTGTACAGCAGAAATTTTCAACGCACTTTTTAGCAGTGTATCGGCATGAATAGATAAGGTGTGTTATTACCTGGAGGTGGAGGTCCAGAAAAGACATATCCAGGAGGAGCGGGTCCGGGATAAATGCCATTAGCAGGAGGAGGTGGAGGGTAAGCGTACGCCCCGTTCGCCATGTAAGGACAGCCGAAATTTCCCGTCACTGGTTGCCCTCTGGATGCTGAAATGAACGAGAGACTCAACAGTTTGATGCTAAAAAGAGTAAAAAGAGCCTGATATTCTAGTCAGACTGTGAGTCTGATACGGCTCCATAGGGCTTTGATTATGAGGCGTGTCTTAACCAAGCGGCAACCTCCCCGTCTCTCTCTTGAAACCAACACGGAAGTGAATTAAACTGCAATTCATCGAGTGGCCTCTTGAGGCTGGCTGCAAAAGCGAGTCAAATTTGTATCTCCCCCATGTTAAAATGCCTAACTTCACAGCAGAAAAAAAACATGTTTACAGCCTGGTGGCAAATAGTTGTTTTGGCCCCGCCCACTTTAGGCTTCAAAAACGCTCTTCAGAAACCTACGGGTGACGTCACGGATACTACGTCCATATTTTTTTTTTCAGTCTATGGTTTTAACCGAACCAGGAAAAAACAAAACTCTGCACTCAATTGGATAGACCTACAACCAATCAGAGCAACGCAGTAAGTGATGTTGAGTGTTTGTTGCTCTCCATCATCGTATAAGCCCGCCCTGGCAATTTGATTGGCCCGACGATTTCTGAACCGATCATATTTACTCCTCAATGGATCGAGTCTAAACCGAACTTCCCAACCAAAACTGTTGTGGATTCGGGCTGGCATCCAGGCTACAAAAGAGTGTCTTTTTAAATCAAATTATATTTGAAAACTGTTAAAATGTCCAAAACAAACGTACCCTGTGATGCCACCTGTAGCATGTACTGTCCAAACTCAATCGCTCCTCCAGCAGAGAAGATCAACTTGAAGGTTGCAGAACCTTCCCAGCCACCTGGAACGGGGATGGAAACACACTTTTAGGGTTAGATATCGAGAACTGGTTCCACATTTCCAAGAACTTTGAATTCGATAGGACACGTGCATTTTGATTCATCTTATCGATTCATTTGTTCATTTGACTTTAATCCATTCAGGCGCAAGAAGACCCGCATAGTTTTCTTTTCTAGTACACATCTAAAATGACGTGCGCAGAGAAAACTGCCTCTCATTCTGTACATGAATATTTGTTACACAAAAATATTACAAAATAGCCTCGTAAACACAGTTATTTCTTAAGTAAATGTAAACCGTTGACCAAGAAAACACGTGTAACAGTATATTGGACCCGTGCAGCTCTTAAAGTGACAGCAGCCTAATATCCCTGCAGCCGTCTCTATAGTAACATTAATCAAACAACAAAAGAGAGAAAATTCTTCTGTAACTATATTTCTAATGCATTTTTTTTTAATAAAGTGCAGTGTTAATTTACATTTGATTGCAGTTTCTGTTCCTGACAATCTTAAAACACGGTTAATTTCAATCGTATATTAGTTCAGTTGTTATTATTCGCCCGATTGCTAATTTTTTATTTGTTCTTTTTTTAATTATTGAGTGTTTACTTGTCTTTAATAATGCTTGAAATGTATTTTAGTTAGGCTAGTTGTTTTTACTATGGTATTTTTAAACCACAGGCAAAAGTGTTTTTGGTGTTTGATTTTTGTTCATACACTGTAAAAAATATTTTCAAGATTTGTTATCACAACTTATTTTCTTTTGTCAAATCAACTTTATAATAATTTATTTAGTTGAGATAACTTATTATTTTGAGTTTCTGATGGTTAAATTAATCTCCTTCATTGTGTTAACTCACTTTTTCCAGTTCAATCAACTTAAAATTTTAAGGCAACCCAGGTTACTTACTTTTTGAGTTAAACCAACAATATTTTTTTTTACAGTGTAGTAATCACAACATTTTTTCTTTTGTCAAATCAAGTTAAATAATTTATTTAGATCAGATAACATATAATTTTGAGTTTCTGATGGTTAAATTAATCTCCATTGTATTAACTCACTTTTTCCAGTTCAAAGAACTGGCAATTTTAAAATTTTAAGGCAACCAGGTTACTTACTTTTTTAAGTTAAACCATCAATATTTTTTTACAGTGTAGTATTCAGATACAATTAAATGTTTTGCAACAAGACTACGTTTTATGTTTTTATTTTTACCTCATTGGAATCGAAATTAGGAATCGATAAGCCGAATCAGAATCATTAAAATATCAAAAGTCAACCCTACACACTTTAGTGTACTTGTAAGCCCATAGTCTTCTTTACTTTGCCACGAGTACACAACTTGAACCCAGGACTCTTCATATACTTTCTTCAGATTATAATTCAGATTATCCAAATGGAAACTCAAGAAGAGTCTTGGTTCTGAAACTTGACTCTTTTTTTGAAGACGCATTATGTCGGATCAGTGTGTTACCTCTGTTGGCTTCGTTTATCTGAGAAGTGACTTGCTGTAATCTGGTGTCTGTCGGCGTTGGCGTATTTATTTATTTCGCTCCAGTTTTGGACTGTGATTGAGTCACAGCAGTGGTGTTATATTTAGGTTCGGTGTTCTTACCTCCAGGCTCGGCGCTGATTGTGCCCTTGACGTAGTTTGCTCCAAGCACTGGCTGTTTGACCTCACAGCCCTTTATAAGATAAAAGGGCATCATGAAAGACTGCAGAGGGTCCTTCCCTTTAGTCAAGAAGATCACCTAAAGACCCAACCACATGAGCAGTTACAATAGTGATCATAGTGTGGAGAACTGAGGTTACTTACAAACCACTGAGAAAGACCATCAAAACTGTGTGTGTATCAGATGCATCCTACAGCCAATCACAAAACCATAAAGGCCAATCTACTCCACAATGGATCGCTCAGGTTTGGGGTTTACCATATTAACATTTGTTAAAAGATTATGTACTATTTTTTTTTAAGTAACATGATGAACATGTATATATATATATATATATATATATATTTTTTTTTTAATATATATATATATATATATATATATATATATATATATATATATATATATATATATATATATATTTTAATATTATATATATTTATTAATTTATTATTGTTATTATTACTTTAAGAGCACAGGTTGGGGCAGTTGAGTATGATTATCTGTGGTCACTATGCAATTTACAGTGTCTACACTGATAGGGTTAATCCATTAAACTGGACTCATTGTAAACTATTTTTGGCATGGTACATACATTTTTGTCTGCATATGAGTTTATTTGTGGCTACATGTGTGTTTTGGTACATATTATATGTGTTTACTTTGTTTAGGAATGAGTGCGTCACCTTTAGAGTTTATATATTTCTGTACTTACTATTATTTGTAAAGTATGTTTTTTTCTTCTTGTGCATTTTTTTTGTGATACGTTTTACTTGACAGCTGTTGTAAGGTCAATGTTTGTATATAGATTCGAGCACCCCCTCGAAAACGAGATGGCTCATCTCAAAGGGTTATTCCTCCACAATAAAATAAATGTCAAACATGATGATCTGAACTCTTTTTCGTGAATCACATACCCTGTAAGGTGTCAGGTAGATGCTTCCCTTCTTGCTTTTTCTGAAGGGTTCTGGCAAGCGTTCTGCGTCACTGAACACCAGCTCCACATTCTCATGTGACATCAAGACACTGTAGGAAAACACATTGGGTTGAATACAGTCAGCACTTTCTGTGCCAACATGATCAAAGCCAGCTCTGCCATCGCTAATACACTGTAAACAAAGTTGTAAATAAAACAAGTAGATTAAAAACAAGTAGTGCATTATTTTACAATAAAACACTATTTCAGTCTTTACTATTTCACGTTTAATTCAATGTGTTTCACCTTTCTTTGTAATTATTTGTGTGAAATTCAGTCAATCCAACACTTTTTTTAACCACCTTCAGTGGTTCTGCTAAAATAATATTTAAAATTTTTATCCAAATTGTTTGTCCTTGACTTTTGTTTATAGTTTTCAAGAATGCCAGCATCAAACAAAGGACATTTGTCTCTAGTGTTAAAATAGTTAACTATAAATAATACATATATAATACATACATATATAAAATTACCAATTGAAAATATACATTCAAATAATAAAAGTAATAATAATTATATGAGTGAATTAATATTGTGGAGTAATTAAGGAAATACAGTTTAAGATTTATTTAAGTGAAATGAAGATGGTTATTTTAAGAGTAATGAAGAAATAACGTAATGTAGAGGAAATTAAAATAAATGAAAAAGACTATTCAGCCGCGGTATCAAATATTTACTATTTTTGAAATGTTAGAGATATGATGTCATTCCTGGAGTTAGCTATAATCTCAGTTGTGTAATAAGATCAATCTATTGTGAAACAGTGTAAGAGCATGTCATTTCTTTTAGAAGAAGGTTAAGAAGATTATTGTTGAACTACACACAGCACTTGTTCAAAGCAGAAATACTAATCCTACTATGACGAGGGCTTAGCTTATTAATATTAATTACGTAACGTAGAATTCGTAGACTCGTGAGACTGGTTGTGATTGGCTGAAAAATAAAAGGGGGCTTGACTAGATTAATATTCATAGGCTCAGATTTCGCCATAGTATGAATTTGAAAGATGCGCAAGATCCATGTTTTATGTAGATAGCAACTTATCTAACCGAATATGAATTTAATTTGTATTATTTAAACATAATATTACATATAATAAGTATATAAACGGCAGACAATGTGATTACATTGCAAATTTAATAGAATGGGTGTGTGATCTAACGGTTGACGCGATGTTATTCAACACATGACACTACACAAACTGTACTAAGTTAGTCATATTAGTGTGCATACAAGAACACATAACATACAATAATCAATTCAATAGGTCATTTAGGCCAAATCCGTGAAATAACACAGTACCAGAAAAAATAATAACGCAATAACAATCACTGAGTCTGAATTCGTGACAATACCTTTCGCTGTTGTTGATGATAACTCCTCCAGATTCAGAATTATTGCTGTTAAGGGCCATGTTTGTTTTCTGTTTGCGTAAAATTGACGTTCTACATTCTACGAGCAGAGCTCAATGATCCACCTGCACTTCCGCCATAGGTCACGCCCCCCGGTGACATCATTATCGAGTCTAGTTTGAGAAATTTCCCGAACCTTCTTGTTCTCAAATAAACAGTTTGTTTTAATTTAATCTAATCTAGTCTAATCTAATATTAGATAGATAGATAGATAGATAGATAGATAGATAGATAGATAGATAGATAGATAGATAGATAGATAGATAGATAGATAGATAGATAGATAGATAGATAGATATAAATAATATAATAAATAAATTTCCTAATAAATAATAAATGATTTTCACGAGCACCCCCTCTGTAAAATATGGTCTCTTCTGCTTCCCAAACACCATGATCTGAAACAGACGCCATTGTGGATCTTGTGCAGGGGTATCGTGCATGTTCCCATACGTCTACTGTGAGCCAAGATGGCCGACAAGACTCGTCAGTTTCCTAACATGTGGATAACACAAAACGTCGCTGTGCGTGAACTCGTGTCTGTTTCCTGCGTGCTATAGTGAAGCAGCATGGCTTCATCTGCGAAGCGGCGAGCTATTGAAACGGGTCAAAACCCCCAAGACAGCAATGAAAGCTCGGACGAGGGAAGCGAAGATTCAGAAGAAGAAATAAACGAGGTAAGTTGCTAAATTTTAATTGTCGTTGCAACCAAAAAATATCGTGATGTGCAGGCCAGGCTGGTTTTGCGTTTAAACACGCTGTTGAGCAATATGTATTTTTATTTGTGTTTAGGAGGTCGTCGTCGATTTTGAAGCACACACGATATCTGACAACGACTTTCATGGCATTAAAACCCTTCTGCAACAGGTAACGTTAACGTCACGGATGTCAGTGTTTGTATTGCACTAAATAAACAGAAGTTTGCTCTTCAACAGAGATTAAAATCGCAACAACGAATATCTCTATACGTTAGATACACACAACATACATTATTTATATCTATATTTATATATGTATGCATGTTTTTGTTTTTCCAGCTGTTCCTGAAGTCTCACGTGAACATCTCTGATCTCACTGACATCATCATTCAGCAGAATCACATTGGCAGTGTCATCAGGGTGAGACTCACTTAAATAATAATATGATTTTACTGTCCATTACTGTAGATTTACAGTAAATTCATTAATCAGGGTGGTCTTGAAAAAGGTTTAGAGAAAAATATGAAAATAAGCTCATAATAAGAAAACAAGTTTTAAATAAAATGAAGAAAATAAAACAATAGTGTGATTAAAAAATTAACTAACCAAATTTTTGTGTAATCAATCACAGCTAACATTAACGTTTTTAAAAATAATATTTAATAACTATAATAAGATTCATTTAATGTATTACACATCTGGATTAACGTGGCTGTGTTCATAATGATCATATTACAAATGCATGTTTTTTAATATTTTCTATATTTTCACTCTAGCAAGCTGAGGTTCTGGAGGACAGTGATGACGAGGGCGACCCAGACGAGGTGTTTGGATTCATCAGCATGGTGAACATCACAGAGAGACAGGTGAGAGACTGATAATACTCATATTTATGAATGCTAGCATGAATATGCTTTATTTTGGGATCTGGAATGTACAACAATCTGTTTATCTTCCTGTTTTCTGATGGCTGTGTGTGTGTTGAACAGGGTGTGGAGTGTCTGGAGAAGCTGAAGGACATGATTATAGAGCAGTGTGTGAACTCCAGCTCGCTGGATGTTCAGGAGAGGTTTGAGCAGCTTCTGTCGGGTAACGGACCCTCAGTCGGGCTATTGCTGAGCGAGAGATTCGTCAACGTCCCGCCACAGATCGCCCTACCGATGCACAAACAGCTCCAGTAAGTGTTCGATAGATCTAACCAGTAGAGGGAGTGTGAGGATCTGAAAATAATGTTACAAATACAGCATGACAAAGGGTTAAACCATTCATATTGTTAAAAAGGTGATTGAAATATTGAATTAATACTGTTGTGAATGAACCAAAAAAAATATTTTATCAAAATCTCAACAAGCAATTATCACACTTTTTAAAGGGATAGTTCACTTTGAAATTAATTTTTGGTATGTTTTAGCTTACCTCAAGGGCATCCAAGATGTAGGTGTCTTTGTTTCCGCAGTAGTTTCAATTTTGATATTTGTCTGTCAGTCATATAATGGAGGTCTATGGTCACCACCTCAAAGAGCATGCACAGAGAAGTCCAAATTAAACATGATTTAATGACTCGTAAATGTAAGTACACATTGATGGCCTAAGACACGAAACGAGCGGTTTGTGTGAGAAAACGAACAGTATTTATATCGTTTTTACCTCTTGAAACCACAGCCACGTCCAATCTGAGGTCACAGGCGCTTTGTGGTTAAAAACAATATAAATACTGTTAGTTTTCTCACACAAACCGCTCGTTTCGTGTCTTAGACCATCAATGTGTACTTACATTTACGAGTCATTAAATCATGTTTAATCTGGACTTCTCTGTGCATGCTCTTTGAGGTGGTGACCATAGACCTCCATTATATGACTGACAGACAAGAACGGTTTGACCTAAAATCATTAAAATTGAAAATACTGCGGAAACAAACTTCCACTGTCATCCAACCAGCAGATCACTGTTGCTGATACTCTCATGTTGTCCGGCTGAAGGTGTTTTGATGTTATTGACTGTTTGCGGGCGGCACTAATACCATCACATGGCTTTTTAAGGATCTTATGTAACAGTGTCTCTTATGTGGGTCAGCACGTAGATGAGACCAAATCCCTGTATCCATCTGGAAAAATTGAGCCAAGTGAACTGTGACCACTGATATACAATGTTTTCTGAAATGATTCGAACATTAATATCTGCTTGACAGAACTAGTTTGAGTTGTGTCTGATTAATTTAGCGCATGTTGGTGAAAATGCTGCGGTTTGGTTTTACAGGAAGGAAATGGCCGAAGCACAGAGGACCAATAAACCCAGCGGTAAATGCCAGTTCTATCTGATGATCAGCAAAACCTGTAAACCAGCCAAGAAGAGCATATCGGGTCAAGCTCAGCCCAAAGAAGAGATCCGGTTTGTGAACGATGAGGAGGAGTTCTTCTATGAGGTAGTCAATATGAAAGCATAATTGACGTTTGCTTTATTAATGGTTCAATTGGGAATGACTCATTTTTCTTAAACACTTTCACAGCAAGCCACGCTGAAGTTCAGCTACTCCGTTCAGGACGAGGCCGATTCCTGCGCGACCGGAAAGTGGTCGTATGACGACGTGCCTCTGAAACCGTTCCGGACCGTGATGGTGATCCCGATGGACAGGATGGGAACCATCATCGATAAAATGACTGAATATCTGACCGTCTAAACTGAACTCTGCTCCTCTTGTGGTGTATTTTTAAGCGTTGTTCAAGAAATGATGTTAAATGTCCCAGTTCGAGTTTTCAAGGTCGTAATGAAATGTTTAAACTGACCCCAAAACAGATTGATAACAAATCACCCCCAACCAGTGAAATCATTTATTAATTCTGTACATAATCAGTTGAAGTTACCCATAAAGTAAATGACCCAAACAGGATTCTTGAGTGTCTTTTTCAAAAGGAACAATACAAAACATTTGAGCTCTATTTACACAAGTGATGAGATCACTGTATGACACATCGGTCATGTGATTCGGCCTCTTCCGTCTGTGGCGCAGCTGGTTGAGGCTTCGCTCTCACGCGCCCCGTCCTGTCGCTGTCCAGAATAAGCTGCAGGATCTCTTTGCTTTCACTAGGGGGCAGGTTACAGAAAAAGTACTGTGGTGCCATTTGAGTGAACCTGAAAACACAGAAGGGAACGAGAAAATATGGGTTTGTTTTTTTTTAAAAAAAAAGGTAAATTTGTAATTAAGCAGGGACATTTTTCTATTCATCAAAAGTATCCTGGGGGGGAAAAAATGTTTCCATCAGACGTGTTTCATGATCAGCATATTATGATTTCTGAAGGATCATGTGACATGATGCTGAAAATCCATCTTTGATCACAAGAATAAATTATATTTTACAATATATTCACATAGAAAACGGCTATTTTGAATCACATTTCACACTATCACTGGTTTTATGGTATAATCGAACAAATAAATGCAGCCTTGGTGCACAGAGAGAGAGAGACGAGATTTCTTTCAAAAACATAAAATGATTAGAGGTACTAAAATAATATGTTTTTATTTCCAAAGATGATAACTAGACACCTTGGCTGAATTAAACATGCAACTTGAGACATCCAGATTAAGTGTTCGGGTTTAATTTTTTTGTCAGTGTTCATTGTGCTGAATTCATTAATTAAAGGTGCTATATGTAACTTTTCTTCTAAAATGAATCATTTTTTTATTGCCTGTTTTTATCCTGCGAAATCAATCGGAAGTGATGAGCATGCACGCTCCTGAGCCTCTCTCTTTTAATATACAGTCTATGCGACGGCACTGCAGTGAACGACATGAGTCTGATAACACCAAAACGTTCCTGTGTCCAGCACAACACACTCTCCACATAAATATAAAAACAAAACAAAATGTATCTGCTGAAGCTAGTCAGGCCAAACGTGAATCGGATCGATTTAGAACGAAAACACGGATCAACGTCGGCAGAGCGTCTGAATTTTTATGGAGAGACCTCCACAACTTTATTGTGATAAATTTTAAGTTTTCAGATATGCTGAAATAATTGTAAACTACAACATATATGAAACGTGAAATGAAAACAAAAGACTGTTTCAGGATAACAAACAGTAGGTGCTTTAGGATGTAACTTTTATTTTATGTACTAGATCTACTGTCTAACGTCACTCATCCACTACTATCATATTGTTTATAATACACATTTCCAACTACGTTCAGTACAGTAATGTTACTTCCTACGATCTTACTGTTACACTGAAACTGTTCAGTCTAGCCCCCAAACCGTATTCACTTTATAGCCCTTAATCCTGTAATTGTGGACAAATGTGGGCACAGAGGACTCAGGTGTGATCCTAATTTTTATTTATTATAAATGTTATATCACCGTCTTCGATAAAGTTTTGTCGGTAACGCTTCCTT